TACTCTATCAAGAGTTATTAATAATTTTGAAACACATGGGTGCGTGTTCCCACAAAAACACAAAAAGCCTGATGTGTTGATTAATGAAGAACAGGAGTTAAAGCAAGTGTTCATTTGTGCTACCGTGGATCAAAATCCCACGTTTTCAAGTAATCAAATTGCTGAGGTGGTTGTCCTGCCCATAATGCCCGTATTGTTCAAGAATATTTGAACAATACTTTTCCCAACTGTTTAATTAGTCGACATGGAACTATTTTGTAGCCCGCTAGATCACCAGATCTTTCTCCCAATGATTTATTTTTGTGGGGTTATGTAAAATCCAAAGTGTATGGTCATAATAGGGCTAATAATCTGGATGGGCTTCAAGTAAAAATACGAGAGGCTTTCCAAATTATTAGCCCTAATATGTTAGCCAATGTCAGATGGGGATTTTACGACTGCCTAGGCTTCTGTCTAGCACAAGAAGATGGTCTTTTTGAACACTTATTATAACTTTTTTTTATTTAGAGTAATATTTTAGTTTTTTGGGGTTTAGAGAATTTGATTATTTTTAGTTTTGGCTTGTAAACACACTCAAATAATTAATATTTAAGTATTTTCATTTTAAACGTTACCGAAATAAAAGTGAAGGTAAACACTTAAAATGAAAATAATAAATACTCGGCACTCCTCGCATCGTATTCCTAGTCTGTCACGACCGACCCGTCCAAGCACAACTGCAACTGCGTATTGCCCAGTGTTGCCACTACCAAAATTTTATTTTCGGTAGATAACTTGGTCAAAATTCGGCAGGAATCGGTAGATGCGATATTTAACACGTATTTCTATTAAGATGTGCTAAAAGTAAGTCATTTTTGGGGTATAAAAAAGATACATGAAAAATACAAACAACACAATATCGTTTTAGTTGCAAAAAATCAGAATTTTTTCCTATAGACCGTCTTGCAAAGCCCCTCCAAATATAAGTATATTGCCTAAAATTATTCCAACATATTTTTGGATACTTTTAGGAATTTTAATTTTAATCTAGGTACTTAATAATTCAAAGTTAATAATCGTTTAGCAACAGTGGAATTCACTAGATACGTAGAAAGTTTACTACTAATACAACTATTTTTTGGAAATTTGAGACTTTTTCATCCTTTTATCCTTAAAAAAGCACAACCTCTACTTAGTCTTCTTTATAGGTTTCAAAGATCGGGATTTCCTCCCGTAATGGAATAATTAGGATTAGGAACATCTATACGAAAATAAGTGTAAAAAGTAAAGAGGTTACCCTCAACAAAACAATGAAAATTTCTCTGATAATAATAGGTGTACGGTAATTTCCCGACGGTTGTTTATATGTCATTGGTCGTATTTGTGAGTCAAGAAAATATAACTCATTAGAAATTTTGTACAAATTGTACTATAAAATTCTTTTTTAATATCTATGACACTAAAATATTCCGAAGAATGAAAATCGGTAGAAAATATAGTATTTTCGGTAGATCGGTAGATGGCCTGCCAAATCGGTAGATCTACCGAAAAATCGGTAGAAGTGGCATCACTGGTACTGCCTGACCAGCCGACTAGCCGGCAGTGAATCTCGTGTACGAATGCAAAACGGGTAAACGGAAATTATGTTACTAGTAGCCTGATGGTCTTCTCTGTACATGTATATCTGGGACAACTAATACACACCTTGGGATCTCTACTACCAAAAATCAAGAGAATAATTAAGTTAGCATGGAGTACTTATGGAAAAAACTCAATTATATTCAAATCTAGATTGCCACTTTATCTAAAGAAGAAAACATTCGACCAATGTATACTACCAGTCATGACCTATGCATGCGAAACCTTATTGATACTTAAAACGGACACATTATGAGGAAACTACATACTCGCACCATGGTCAATGGAACGAAATATGCTGGAAATAACCAAGAAAGACTGTAAAAGAACAGAGTGGATACGATAAAAGATCCAGGCAAGAGATGTTATCAACAGAATCAAATCCCCCAAGTGGCAATGGGCAGAACACCTGTGAAGAAGGACGGATGGACCACAAAAATCACAGCATGGTACCCACGAGGAATTAAGAGACCTAAAAGAAGACCAAACCTGTGATGGTACCATGATATTACGAAATTAGCAGGGATAACATGCCCGCATAGCCTTCTTCTTAAGGTGCCGTGCAGGTTCCTGCATAGGCGTTCATCTTTTTCTTCCTCTTCAGATGGTTCTGTTAACTGCCGCGACTTGGAGTGCTTGGAAGTCCTGTATGCCTGTCCAATGATGAATATTTCTCAGCCAGGATAGCTTCCTTCGTCCTATTCCCCTTTTGCCCCCCTCCATTTTACCCTGGAGAATCAGACGCTGAAAGTGATAGCGTTCTCCACGTAGTATGTGTCCCAAATAGGCTATTTTCCTCTTATTGATGATTTCGAAGAGTTCACGTTGTTCCAGACCAGCTCTTCTGAGAATGTCTTTATTCCTCACACGGTCCACCCAGAGCATTCGTCGTTGGGTCCACATTTCGAAGGCTTCAATTCGGTTTATTGTTGCTACCTTCAGTGTCCATGCTTCCACACCATATAACAAAACGGACCAAACATAGCACTTCACCATTCTGTATCTAAGGCCGAAGTTCAAATTCCTATCTGTGAGAAATCTTCGCAGTCTCAGAAAAGTAGATCCTGCTTGTTCGATCCTGCATTTGATCTCCTGATCTGGATCCCACGTTTCGTTAACCATGCATCCCAAATATTTAAATTGTGTGACCTGCTTGATGACCTATCCATTTAAGTAAATTCTAGTGTTCGGAATATTGTTTCTGCTAACAGCCATAAATTTAGTTTTTGTAGTATTTATGGTTAAACCCAGTCTTTGACTTTCACTGTTAACCTTATTTAGAAGGATTTGGAGATCATTTGCATTGTCTGCCAATATCACTGTGTCATCCGCATATCGGATATTATTAATTGGAATGCCATTTATTTTCAAACCAATGGGACTATCGGACATTGACTCAGTGAATGCTCTTTCCACATATAAATTGAACAACATTGGAGACAGAATACACCCTTGCCTTACCCCCTTTTTTATTTCAAAATCTTCTGTTACTCCCACGCTATGTATACGAATTTCAGCTTTTTGGTTCCAATACAAATTACTGATGAGCCTTATATCTTTTCCATCAAGCCCGCATAGCCAAGAATAGACAATAATGGGCCCAATTACAAAGAGAGTATCTAAATATGTGACAGAGGCTACACCATAATTGGAAATGGTGGAATAAGCTAAAAATAATCATGATAATGAAATGTTCTTTCCAATAATGTCAAAAACCTATGGATCGAAGTAAAAAAACAACCCAAAAAAATTAATAAATATTAAAAAAAAAATTAGAGATTTGTTTTTTCGTAGCCTAAAAACTTCGTTTTTCTTAATAACAGCGCGTTTTAATTGAAGGTAATTTAGTATACACGCGATTTCTCAATCTACGTCAATTACAAGCCTGCGGGAGGTTTATCCTAAAAGGAAATAAATATTCCTAAGGATATTATGGAAGGAAAAACGAAAAGGAATTAATGGGAAATAAATGTATTTTTTACGGACATTCTACTATGAAAAAGGAAGTAGTTTCCTTCATTAAGGTCTGGTTTTATAAATATTTTAGAAAATCATATTTTATATATAAGACGTTTTATTTTAATATCATCATATTAAAAGTATTTCTCTTAAGTAATTCATAAAAGTTTGTAAGCTTAATATATTCATCTACCGAAATTTAAACATGAAAAAATTTGTATGGTAATCTATCAAATATAATTTGACAGATTTATTGGACAATATGTTAAATATGTCAAAAGAAAAGCATACAAATTCAATGCTAAATCACCTGGCAACTATGTCTAATAAAGTATAGTTTTTTTTTCAAGAGTTGAATGAAAATATTTGATTGTAACCAAACAGAGGGACCGAATTGTGATAGATTTTTTTATAAAGAAATAGACAAAATAAAATAAAGTCATGGATATTTTTTTTCATATAGCACTGTTACTAGAGTATAATATGGTATATTTATTAAACAACTCTTCAAAATATTAAAAGAATCCTGTCAATCTTGAGATTCTTTTCCCAAAAAAATTATGTTTTTAAGCTTCACTCCGGAAGAAAAAAGATTTAACATACAAAGATTCTTTCTTGCTTTTCCCTTAGTCTAACAGACACAATAAATAAGTTCTGTGCTAAATTAAAATTATTTATCGCAATAAATGCACTAGAATAGCTCCGTTTTCAAGCCATAAGCAGTACAATTATCCATAGTACTGCAATGAAGAGTGTGAATAAATTGTGTTCTTCAATCACTATACTGATGCAGTGACTGCAACAACGAGTAAACATGCCTATCAAAAGATGCCGAAATACTACTGATTTTGACTAGTGTTGCACAAGAGTCTTGAAAAAGTCTTGCAAGACTAAGACTCTTGCAAGAAATTCAAGACAAGACTTTTAAAATTTTTTGTCTTCAATTTCAAGACAAGACAAGACTTTAATATGCAGGAAACTTCAAGACTCTTGCAAGATTTCTTGAAATTTAGAAAGGATACATTTTGGGTCTTTGTGCAAGTTATGCCGGGTTTATAAACATTTACATAGTCGTAGTCACAATCATAGTCATAATCATAAAAGTTAAACTATCCACTTCTTATAAACCTGTTGACATCTACCATGAACTTAACCTTTAATTATGTTACCCAACTTCACTGATATAAAAATTATGATTATGAAAATGTTCTATAAACGTACATTAAAATTGCGTTGTGGTTATGACTATGATTAAGACTGTGATTATGATTACGACTTATGCAAATGTTGTATAAACCCGGAATTAATATCACAGATTAGGTATCCTATAAGTATACAGATAAAAACTTTGTCCCTAATTAAATTAGATTTTTTTTTAATAGGAGTATTTCTTTTTATATGTAGTAGAAATACTAGGAACTTACCAAACTGACTCCTCATCCAAGGATACAAAGGACTAGGTAACGCTGCCGCCGTATTACTAGGCGGTTGCTGACCCTGCGGCGGTTGCTGCATCGGCGATTGCTGATGCGGCGCCTGCTGGTGCATGTTGGGATTCTGTTGCGCGCCGTACAGCATATGCTGCTGCTGCTGGTGATGCGCCTGGTGATGCTGCGGGTGCTGCTCCTGCATATGATGCGTCATATGATGATTGGTGAGGTTCTGCGTCGCATCTAACGGCGGACTACCCGTAGGACCCAACACGCCGTTCTGGTTAACCGCCGCTGCTTGCAGTTTACAACTAGCGTAAACAACCGGCGTTTGGTGACCGTTAGGTGCCTGCGTCGTTCCCATATGACCCATAGCGCTCGGACTGTCCGGTCTATAACCTTGGGCACCGTCCATCTGCTGCTGGGCATTGTAGTATCCGGCATTTCGAATGTCCATCCGGTCGTAAGGGGGGAATCGAGGGTAAGGCATGCCTTGGGGAGGTTGCCCGGCCGTCGGGGGACCTCCATAGTGATGAGGGGGGATCCCTTGCCGTAACCCCACTACGGAAGGATCCCCCGCACAGGCGCTGGGGTCCTGAACAGCACCGCCACCTTGCGGTACCTGTCCGTAGTGGTGTTGCTGGTGCTCGGCGGACACCACGCCTCCGTTCCTCATGTCCGGCATGTAGTTGGCGAAGTACGAACTCATGCTACCGAAAGATTCGATCACTCGACTCGTTTGAAACACTTTTGCCTCGAATGGAACACTGCGGAACACACTATTTTACATGGCACTCCCGCACTCTCACACCTATATATTAGAGATTTTTAGATATCACAGGACACGGCTGATGAGATGGGAAGGATTGGAGTCTCTTGGTGCGAAAACACTAACGATTCACGGGAGCCTGCAACAGAAACAAAATAGCTTTATTAGTCGACGTCATCTCTCTAATGGGTATAATATTATTGTTATGCAAAATATAGAGCGCGATACAGGCGGAATGCAGTGGTGCTTTCACACGTTACACTCATAATTAGCGTTAACAAGAGTAAATGCGATGCCGCGGAGGCCATGATGGCTGCTGTCTCTATGTCCGTCAAATAACTGAACAAACGTGAGCCAGAGTGACAAAATGAGTGACACATGCGAAAATGTTACGAGTCTCATAATTAGATTTTTTCACGGTCCAGATCCACATGTGGTGTGGTTTTCGGGTAGTTAGTTAATTTGCGTCGGTTTCCGGACATCCAGACGAATTTTTGTCAGAAATCTTGATCGAGATTAATTGGAATTTTCACGATCTATCGGGATTCTTTGGAAGAGGGAAGGAGGGGGGACGAAACGGGAATAGCGGGAGATTAATGGCGGCTGGAACTAATTTCGTTTAGAGAAACAAAATTGAGTTTTTTTTTAATTTTGGTTCTCTGGCGAAATGATGCAATACTTTTGTCTGAATGTGATTAATCAAAGTCAAATATATTTTCTTATATTAATCGTTTTTTTTTGCTGTTATTTGTAGTTTCAAAACAGACCGATACATATTAGATCAAGGAATATCCAGAATTAAACTTTTGAATTATAACTATTTATCATATAAGTATACAGTATGTCCCGGTTTGTTTCTACAAGAGGAAACTTTCTTGTTATTGACTTTTTGAGAGAAATTCATTCTTCATAAAACAATTTGCTTGTTCTAAAATGGTTAATCCCCTTTATATTTTTCCAAATTTCCATACCGTTTTAGAGAAAATTAAAAAAAAACATGAAAATGTAGTTGAATTTTTCCAAAGTTCAAAAAATCAAAACGCGTTTCTATGATAACATAATTTCGATTTCATTCTTTGATAGATGATTATAATTAATTTTGATTAACGATTCCCAAAAACTATTATTAGGAAAAAATGTTTTTTTTTACTTTTCTCCGAAACGGTAGGGAAATTTGGAAAGGTATAAACGGGATTAACAATTTTAGAATAAGCAAACATTTTTATGAAGAATACATTTTTCTCGAAATGTCAATACTCAAAAAGTTTTTCCTCTTGTAAAAACAATCCGGGGACATACTGTATAAAAAGTATTAGTGTATATACAAGGTTAATCACGATCGATATTAAAAAATCGTTATAGTGAACGATTTTTTACTTTTCTAGATGAACAAAATGCCCTTAAAAGCATTCAAAATATGCCACAATTATATCAACCGCTTCTTTAAGTAATAGAGGCATTTTGAGGAGGTAATCAAACGATGCAAAATGCTTCTGAAATTATCAAAATGTTGACCTAATAAGACTATGACGTTTAAACCATTACTTCAAAAGTCGCTTTTTTCCAAAACTTATTTCCATGACTTTATTGAAACGTCGTTTGTCATTCTCTGTTCTTTGTGTCTTAATTATTAGTTATTAATCCATATAGACTGATCTGGTTTCGTTTATATGTAGAACTGCCCACCGAAATTAGATACACAATTTTTTTAACACCCTGTATACAGTTAAATATCAATTTTAACATCAAAGCCTCCGCCTAACGTTATTATTATTGAAAAATGACCAACGCAACCTACGTCCATACACTCCGTTGACCGTTGTTCTTGTTGTTCTCTTAAACTGATTACGACATGGTACCCGATTAATCCCTGACAGATTATTAAAAAAATAGAGGGGTTCTGGTAACAATAATACCGCCCATTTTCGGCATGGACCGTTTTATTACAGTCGCATTTTGTTAAATTGTCGTGTCGAAATCGGGTCAAACGATAGTTTAGATTTATTTGAACTAATAAATTTGTGTTTTGTTTTACGAGATTAATTTGTAAGCAACAAATACGTGTTATGTATATTATACGTTTGCTCGCGTGCGCAGTGAAAATATAATTTTGTGTTTGTGTATTTCAAACATATAGAATAAAGTTATTCTTAACCAATGTATGATATGAATAAAAATACGAAATTTCAAAAAAGTGCTATAGGTATTTCGCCACATGCATTTTAAGAAAATCTACAAAATAAAATAGTTATTTTTTTTTGTAAACACTGCTGCGTTAATTTTAAATTGGTAAAACATCTAGACCCTTAAATGTTCGAATTAAAGAACATAAAGATTATTTAAGAAAGGGAGATTTTCGCAAATCTAAGATTTGTCAGCATTCATGGGACACAGGGCACAGAAGAGATTTTAACAACGCAACGGCAAAATTAGAATGAAAAAACGATAGCCTCTGAACGAAAAATAAAAGAGGCTTTTTTACAGTCTAATATAAATAAATGTATTGCCTAGGCTTCTGTAGAGGTTAGTAATGTATGGTTATCGCTTCTTTGATTTTAATGAACATAACATAAATAAACGTAAGTAAAAATATATAAACAAATAAAAAGTAATGATATACAGAAAGGTTAAGGCTACCTCATTAAGTAATTATTGTTTTCAGGTAGTAATTGTTAATTTTGAAGTTTAACTAGATATCATGTCAGGACGTCAACGGTTTTTATAGACGTATACATATTATACCGGGTATTGCATCGTCGAGCGGGACGGGATGTAAATTTTAATGGGGTCAATTATTGGCTTCCCTAATTATTTTAGAGAATAATTCTATGTAGGTTTATTGAAGAGCACTAAAACCCACATTCAAAAGAATAACTTTAAATATTTTTGATTAGCCCGTTTACGAGTTATCGCCGATTTCTTTTTAAATATTTCTCCTTTCTTATGGCCCTGTATTTACTTATGAGTACCAGTCAAAGTAAAAGATAACTGTCAAATGAAGTTGTAATTTCAGAAATTTATCTATTTAGTGCTTTATTATTATTATTAAAAACTCATACCTACATCGAATATATTAGCCATGAATTACACTACCGAAGAAAAAGTATTGATGATTAAATGGTATTATCAAGGAAATAGTTATCAAAAGGTGTCGGACATGTTTCCTGCTCTGTATCCGAATAGACCGATACCTGGAAAATCTACAATCGCAAGGAATACCCAGAGATTTGAGACCAAAGGTACCCTAATAAATAACTGCAGTTGTGAAGCAAGGCAGGAACAAAGAGAAGATGCAAGAAATGATACCGACTTGGAAGTTTTATTCTGCCTGGAAGAGAATGATGGAAAGATCAGCACAAGGAAACTTGAGGATGAAATAGGAATAGATCACACTACAGCGTTTCGAATTTTGAAACGACATAAATACTATTCCTTCAAATATGAAAAGCACCGGCAAATACGGCGCAGGCGTGTTGTTTTGATATGATGGAAAGAGCAAACACGGATAGGGAATTTTTAAAAAAACATATGTTTCACTGACGAATGCACGTTTACCTTAAATAATGAACCCAATGTTCAAAATTATCGATATTGGAACAAAGAAAACCAACACAGGTTTGTCGAAACAAGGACGCAATATCCACAGAAAGTAAATGTTTGGGCAGGGATATTCGGACACAATATTATCGGGCCATTATTTCTTACGCGAAATTTAAATGCAGAATATTATTTGGAACTACTCCAAAATCATATTTTACCTGCTTTACATGATGCTGCTAGGGAAAATCAGGAAGTTTGGTACCAAATGGATGGCTGCCCGGCACATAGTACCCTGGCTGTTCGGGAATATTTAGACAATAGTTTTAACGAAAACGTTAATGGCCTAAATCATATAGGAAATTGGCCAGCAAGATCTCCTCATATTTTGCCAAATGATTTCTTTCTCTGGGGACATTTAAAAAACAGAATATACAAGGATAAAAAATACCCAAATCTAGACGAGTTAAAAAATGCTATTTCTGCCGAATGCAATAGAATTTCAGTTTACCAACTAGCGTATGTAAAAAGAGAATTATATGATCGCCTGGATTATTGTCTAGCAGTCGATGGAGGAATATTTGAAAATCTTCTTAAATCCTAAAGTTCTAACAATATAATAGTACCTAAATTAAGAAGTTATTGAATATTGTAATAATACTATAATTAACCTTGTAATTGATTACTTTATTTTACTTTAATTCATATTAATTTGTATTTATAAATACATCTTTAAGATTTCCGATGTAGGAATGAGTTTTCAATAATAATAAAGCACTAAATAGGTAAATTTCTGAAATGACAACTTCATTTGATAGTTATCTTTTACCTTGACTGGTGCTCATAAGTAAATACAGGGCCATAAGAAAGGAGAAATATTTAAAAAGAAATCGGCGATAACTCGTAAACGAGCTCTTCAATAAACTTAAATAGAATTATTCTCTAAAATAATTAGGGAAGCCAATAATTGACCCCATTAAAATTTACATGGGATTTCCTATGTCCCGTCCGACGATGCAACGCCCGGTATAATCGGGTTACAACGTTTTCCCCGTCTTCCGATTCCTAATCACCACCTCTCTCTATCTCCCCATCCATCTACTTCCAAACCTCTGTGCAAAACTTCTTGCGCGGTCTTCCTCTTTTTCTTCTACCTTGAGGATTCCAATTTAATATTTTTTTTTGTGATTCGATGTTCTTCCATTCTTTGCACATGTCCATACCATATTAATTGCTGAGTTCTAATGTCATCTACGATGTCGTATTTTAGTTCCATTTGGCGTCTTATGGTTTCATTTAGTATTTTATCTTTTCTGGATTTTCCAGCCGATCTTCTCCAAAAGTCCATCTCCGTGGATTTTAGCTTTCTCTTTTAAAGGCCATACTTCAGAGCCGTAGGTAATTATGAATTGTAAATTCCTTTTTTGTTTTCTATAGTTATATTCTTATCCCATAGTATTCCATTTAGCATCGAAAATGCTTTTCTCCTTTGCATCTTTCTTTCCAATATTGCTTCATCCAGTGTTTCGTCTTTGGATATTTTCATCCCGAGATATTTGTGGCTTTTATAAACATATCTTTTGAAAAAAGTAAAGTATTCTT